GTCTGGATTTTTTTGTTTTTAATCCATGAGACATTTTCGTGCTGAGTTCATGAGATGAACAGAGAGTGAAGCTGTGGTTAGCAGTGATTGATGGATTTGGTGGGACACGGAGAATTTCTTAGCCGGACATCCCTGATTTACCAAGATGGCGCGCGCCATGGATTTCATGCTTCCAGGAGGCATTCCCTCCTCAAAACTGTTTGAGATGGTTCGAGGAACTTCAGATAGGCCTAATGTTCCACGTCCCCTCTGAAATGGTTCATGAAAGTATGAATAGGCCTGTGATTTACCAATCGATACACTTCCTCAACGAGATTTCTAGAAGCCCATGGATTCGTCCTTATAGGCATAATTGGCCCCGTCAGTCATGAATTGAATTTCTTTTTTATAATAAAGGTCGTATTTGGTGTGACATGAAGACAGTCGGTTCCTTAGGCCTAGGCCTAATGTTAGTGAGTCCCTTAACCCCATACACCAGGTATTGGACAAATGCATGCAGTCATACTCCAGTTTTATATTTAAAAAAATATATATTTTGTTTCTGCGAAAGTTCCCTATTTGATGCTATTAACTCTGACCTTACCTTTTCATGTGATACTTCTCCACCCCCCCCCCCCTCCCCTTTTGGCACTCACCGTGAGCATCCCGAGAACGTCAGTTGCATGGTACCTCCATGACGCAGACGGGTGCGTCGTGTGTGTTCAAGGGGTAAAGAAGGGTTGGGGGGGTGGGAGGGGTTTTGAAGAAAGGGGATGTAATTGAAAATTGGTTTTCATGTTGCTTCGGAATGTATTTTTGTTATCGAATGGAATGCTTCCAAATCCAAGTAGACGTTAAATAATGGCATCCTCTGGTGTCTGTCGTCGTCTGCTGTCGGTTGTGATAAGAATTTGATCAAATCCGAAGGTGAAAATGCACTCCTGCAGACGTACCGGAAAAGCTTGCCAGCCGCTTGCATCAACATTCAGTATATAGGTATGATCAGAGAATAGAAGCCTATTTAAAAAAAAAAAACACTCATGCGTAAAAATGCTGTAACCGGAGTCTTCTTTCCAGATGCATTGTCTGCTGAAGAACGTGTTGGCAGCGAGACTCCTCGCCCCAGTCGTCGAGATCTTCACCAAATCCCAAGTGTCGTCTGGCTCGTTCCGCTCCTATTGCTGGGGATCTGGTCGTTTCGGTTTGGATTCACTCGCCACGGGAGAAAGCGATCGGCATCTCCCTGTCATCGCCGTCGCACATCTCTTTGGGTTTCTGGTCGCCATGGGTCTCGACCGTCGTCAAGGTCTAATGCAATAGGAAGTCTTGCAGACTGGACGACCTTACGGTCCAGGTGAGTTCTCACCTGCCTTCCGGAAAAAATCAAAGCAACTCCATTCACTTTCTGGTTTAACGAACCTCTCTCTTTGAAGAATGTACGGCGGCGGCAAATGCATTCATTTTAGGTTGTGTATGATTGCGTGCATGAATACTCGGAGGTTTGAGAATCCGTCTGTCTCTGCACAGGGTTTCGTCAATGTTTGGGGGAAAATCACAGCTTCGAAATCTGGTGAACCTTAAAGTATCTTTAAAACTTAATCTCTATATGCTTTTAAATCATCACACCCAAGAAGGAACTTATTTAACTAGAGAGAACCAGCTACTAGATCTGGCATTCCACTGGCCCCAGTACCACTGGATTTATTTTATAGAGTCACCGCATCCTAGCCATCCAACTTTGAAATAAATAATAGCTGTCATTGATTCGGTGTAGGCCTATATGAAAAGGCCTGGACAACTAGCATGTCCTCGATGGTCCGCGCGTTCGCCTTGCGTGGAGACGGGAAGACAATATGAGGTGTAGGATGCCAGATACGGCATTTCACGCGTACGCCTAACCACCCTATCTACGCGGCCGGGAGCAGTCGCTCTCCTCCATTGTCTACTGTGGATCCGTCAACCGTAAGGGCTGGAAGGGAAGTGGATGTTTTCTTGGAAGACGGGCACCCCGACCCAGGCGGAAAGCTGCGCGTGCGCATTGGGTCGTGTTGTCCGGTTGCTATGGTTACTGCGGACAGACAGATTGAAAAAAAAAAGAAAGTGACAAACCGACCGCAATATCTGGCATTTCCCCATACCTATGGGAATGCCAGATAATAAAAAAAGAAATATGAAGTAGTTCTATACAGAAGAATGCGAGCAGTGTGGAGTGCTTAGACACAATTTTTCCGCCTATGCGTTCCCCACGCATAGGTAAAAAAAATTCTAGGCCTTAGGCACTTCTAGTTGCTCTGTAACTTTTTTTTATATTTTCATCATGAGAAGCTAGATATCTTTGATGGTGACCGCCAAAATTTCACCATACTTGTCCATTAAAGATAGTTTCCATGAATTTGTTTCAATGTGCTACCAAAAGGTCTGCGAAGAGGTATAAAAAAGTGACATGAATGCCGTGATGAATTTTCTAGCTTGGAAAGAGTCCATCTCCCAGCAGATCATTCAGCAGATAAGTGGTTAGAGTCCTACTGATACTTCTACGAAAGATTCACGAAAGGAAAGAATTTGGTGAAAGTGACCGATTTCGGGGCCAGGTGGCCATCACGCATGCGTCTACGAGTTTTGTCGGGGGAAAGCTTAGAAAGCTGAAAGTGGTGTCTTTTGAAGGGGCTTTTTAAATGCGACATTTCTTGGATTTTCAATGAAAGAAACTGTGAAGTGTTCTTCACCACGACCGACCTTTTAAAAAAATAAAATTTCGACTATGAACTGCTATGGACGCATCGGCTGCGAAAGCACTGCAAAACTCAAAATGGCAATTTCGACATGACGGCTCTGCGAGCAAATCAAAGCCTTCGAGTTATCCTTTCCATCTTAATCCTTTAAGACCCGATTTAATATATATAAATGATGTCATAACGGAATTTCCTCATTGGACTGTCCACAATGAAACGGCATCGACCACAAAAATACAAAGAGGAGACAAGGACGCGGAAATCGACCCTTCACCAGCCAAAAGAACCAAGTTATTTCTCCCTTTTCAACGGATTCTTGAAGATCCCTCTCTCCTCCTTCTCCTCTTCGTGCGATATCAGGATCTTCCTCTCCTGAAATAGGAATCCAGATGTTTCTTTAGAATCGACAAAGTCGCTCAAACCACAAAAACCAGAGATTCTTATCTTCTCAAGATGAAATGATTCCCTAACAAGCTGGAGATACTTCAACTACAGCGAATCTATTCTGTTATGACCAAAGATACCACGCAGCCCAAGTCCCATTCCGTCTGCATCGGCACAGGTTTCGGAATGTCTCTCCGATTCCGAAGGGAGATGATACCGTTTGGCCAAAGTTACTGGGGAGTCGGTCGCGAATTTTAACGCGTTCTGTTCGTTTCAATGTTGATAACATTTTGAAAAGGGGGCGCTCAGTTCGGTATTTGGTACATTTGGCACATCCCCCATTTCATTTGCATTACAGTAAATAGCACCAGTTTTTTTTTCTGCTGGTAATGAGATATTTCTCCTGGAACAAAAAGTTTATTTGCTGCTGATTGCCCCTTAAGAAGATAATCATTTTTGTTTTATATTTCCAGTTTCTGAGTAAAATGACAAGAACAGCACTTTAATGTGCTGAGAGTATATTATCATCCCATGATAGTTGATATAAGTTAAAAGATTGCTTTAAATATTTCAGTTTTTACTTGCAAAGTGAAATTCTTCATAGAATCATCCGTCCTTGCGCCCATTTCCCGATTTAGAGTAATATATCTCTATCCCAACCATTTTTTGAGACTCCGGAGCGTAATACCGGAAGCCAACCCTTCGCCATTTCAACATGTAGATATTTCCCGGTCATAACCCCACCCAATCGACAAACAAACGCGAAATGATTCCAGAACCCTCTCACCTCTGAGCCCTTCGCACGATATTCTCCCCTGCGAAGACTCGTCTCGACGAACCCGTTGAGCACCAAAACGACCACGGCGTCGAAGAACAGGTGGGCGATGAAGACGACGCTGGCGATGGTCATGTTCAGGTCGCTCTCGAAGCTCCAGCCCCAGGCGTGATTCCAATGGATAAAAACTCCGATCTGGAGGAACCAGGTCCCTTGGAACAGCAGCGTGTACGCGAAGCCGAGCACCGGAAGAATGTGGCGCTTTTCCCATATCATCAGAAACGCCATTACAACTCCGCCTTTGACCACGTCCAGCAGCAAAGCGTGGATCTGCGAGAATACTCTTAATTTATTCTCGAGCTCGAACTCGTCAGGCTCCCCCGACGCGACGAACGGGGTCTCACTTGGAATTCGAGGGGATGCTTGTAAAAGACGGTATGATACGAGAAGAGGACCCATTCCACGAGGAAGGCGAACAGCCCGAAGACGGCATCCGCAGACGGCAGAACGGGGTATCCCCGATCCGCCAGCATCCCGATCAGGTAGAAGAGGAAGAAGGCGAAGAACACTGTGATGTGCTGGTAATTTTCCGGATAGATCCAATTCCAGTTCTCGTCCAGTGCATTTCCGCATTCCACTGCAGAAGTGTCGGAAAATTTAATTGTCCATTCAGTTCGTGCCGTATGGAAATAGCGAACGACCGCATCGGCTGCACGAAAAAGCTTCAAAATGAATTCAGAACTTCAAAAATCTCTCTCGACATCGTCTATAAAAAAAAAGGAATTTGTCGGAGAAATTAGCAAACTCACGACTTTGTGTGCCGAGTGCGAATTTTCAGGTAGCTGTCACTGCATACAACTACTCCTAGCTGATTGAAATGTCGACGATTACCATTCGTCAAGAAGTAAAAACATTAATGACGATAAGTGAGGGGGAAAAAATGAAATTTTTTGGTTCATTTTCCACGCTTAATACACTACAGAGCTTATTCAGTCCTACTCCAAAATCATGAGTCGAGATATGAATAATTGCTCAGATTCATCTAGGGTAATTTTCAGTTTTTAAGCATTTTAGCATTAAGACGCGGTCAATGCTAAAGGCACTGAGGATATACGTTTGTTGAAATAGAAAAGAAATCAATTCCATAGCCTTTTTTTCAACGCGGTGAATTCGACCTTCAAAAATAGTCATCAGTTCTTCGACTACATTTTCCTAGAGATCTCGAAACACGGAAACGAAGGAATACAGAATTGGTAATTTGAAGATGAAAATATGAGATTTTCGCCGTGAGGAAGGACTTTACTTCGAACAGGGATAGTCTCCACCGCGACTCGCAAAAAAGTCGATCGGTTAAGACGGCTGAAAGACCGGGAAAACGACAAACCCGCGATCCCGACGAGACAGCAGACGCCCATGAACCCCGCGTCCACGCCCTGCCTCCCGCGCGCGGGAAATCGCAGCCCGGCCCGGAACGGCGGCGCGGCGGGGTCGAGCCGACTTCGGTGCCATCGGACGAGGTTGTTCCACGCCATCCAGAGGGATGTCATCAGCAGGAAGGCGGCTGGTATGGCGTGTCCGATCAAGTTGGCCATGTCGTCCGGGTGTCTTTCCCTGATGGGCAGCAATATCTGATGGGATTATTTCGTTCTCAATCAGAACCGGTCGATCTCCGTAAAAGCCGGGAAAACAGCGATTCCAAGATTTCACCAATCTTTGAGGAGAGAGTGCTCTCTTCACAGATTAATTTGAACCTTTCCGATCGGCGGGATATTAAGACAGAGATATCAAGGAGACAAGCGTTCTTTAGCTATCCCCAGAGTAAATAGTCATATCGGAGAGCATGTAGTGGCCAGTAGAGTAAAAAAAAAAAAAAAAAAAACTAATTTTGTTAAAAAAAAAAAAAAAAAAAAAAAAAAAAAAGTAATTTTGTCGGGAGGGACTAGAATGCCCAATTATCATCATCCATTAATCTACCATAAATCCCGATCATCGTTCAATCGACTCCAATTTCCCGTCATTACCCATGAATATTCATCATCCATCCTTTGTACAATTAAACGCCGTCATCGTAATTGAATGTCGAGATGATAATGGAAACAATCGTATCGGTAATTGTAGCTGTACGTAGCGATTCAGGAAATTAATTAATTCTTTTAATTAATTAATAAATTAAGAGGCGACCACAATAATGTTTTTAGGTATCTCCATCCTGAAAGACTTTATTATTAAATCCTGCAATTCTTGGGGCTTAAAACAAAGTTTTATTTACCTATTTATTTTTATTTACAGGTTTTTATTTACAATCTTGGGGTTGGAATTGCTTGAAGAAAATGTTTCGCCCCAATGAAACGGAGTTAAAGAAATTTTGTGCAGACACCTGTTGAGATACAGATATCGAGGAAAAGCACGCTCTTGGGACACTTATTTACATGTAAAATATATAAAATATATGCTTTTGGGATTAATCCCCCAGGAAGCAAATTTTTAAGCGATGCATTTTTTTGCCGCAGCTTATCAGGCCGCTGTGGAAAACAATCATGGTATAGAAATATCTGATGGGAAGATACTTTTAGGAAACCTTATATTTCTTGGAAATATCTCCTGGGGTATATATATTTTTTGGGGATCGGTTTGCTACATTTTATTTTTTTTTTTACATTGGGTTCAGGAAAAATCAAGATTGGAATCCTGCCACCCTCAATGTCCCGAAGAAGACGCGAAGTACCCGTACCAAGTACCAAATTGACCCGAGGAGTTTTACCGCATTGGTACGTGCGAGAATCGCAAACAGACGCTTCAAACGCATTTTCGAAATTTTTTAGGAGCCTTGTAACTTATAATGCAGAAGCCATGAGAGGTTTTCCCCCGTTTAAAGGCCTCTTCAACAACATTCAGAAAAAGCATTTAATGAATCACTCGTTCCGAGCACGAATTGACTTCAGACGGCACGGAGCGAAAGAGAAAAGGACTCCCAAGTGAATGAACCGATATAAAGAGGAATCACAACGGCCATATCACTGTGCTAATGGCTCTCATCACTGTGCTAATGGCTCTCATCATTGTGATAATGGCTCTCCTCATTGTGACTCATCGCGACCTTCTCGTGACCGAATCAAGACTAAATAATATGCTTTACTTTTCCTCCCTATGAAGTTCTTGAACGATAATTTCCCGTGAAAGCTTCTTAGCGTGAGAGGTTCTTCTTTTATATTTTTATATTTTTATATTTTTTCTTCTATATTATATGTTATATTTTGCGCACGTCATAATTTTCTCCGAGGGCACATCGAACGCTCGATTCCACATCTCTCCACGAGAAAAACTCGACCAAGGCGACAAAAGTGAAACTGACAAACTTCGAAGACCAGTCCAATTGAATTGCTTTTAAAGAAACACATGTAACTACGCACTCGTGCGTTCTTCGACGGCGAAACGGTTCAGGAATTACATTTCTCAAATAGCAAATTGTTTGGCAAAATCTCGACGATTTGGTATGATCAATATGAATTATAATAATAATTATTATAATATTATTGCAAAACAACACAGTAAAAACACAGTTTGCTTCATTAAGTCGTGCATGAGGCGGACGACCAGCAACGAGCACCAACCAATAACAAGTTGCCGCAGTTGAAGCCTTTGTTTGGCAAGCGTTCGTGCAGAATGGTCGATACGGATCGAGATACCCAGTTGGGTTGGCGGCGCGGGACCGGCGATCGGTGCATGCAAACGGCTTCAACGGCGGCAGCTTGTTCTCGATCGGTGTTAATTTGCTGGTCGTCCGACAGCGCGGGTCTTCCGCTGGTCGTCCGACAGCGCGGGTCATCCGCTGGTCGTCCGCCTGTCCGCGCTTGGATTCGTCAGCCCGGCGCTGCACTGTCCTGAGCGAAGGCGCTTCTGTGCCTTGCACTTTCGCCGGCTCTGTTGTATTCTTGCCTTTTTTTTACGGAGTAACATTTTAGAACTGCTCTAGCCTCGACAGCATCGATTTCGATAGAATTGCCTGTGGATGGGAAAAATGAGGGTAATAAAAGTAATTGCTTGAAAGACGTGGCTGTGCCAATTTTATATACTGTATATCATTCTCTCGTGGAATAGATTTTGCCTGCCGCGTAATAGATTTCTAGAATTTCGTTCAGAACTAGTCGAACGACAAGACTTTTTGATCGTACTGAGACATTAAATTCATTTAATTTATTTAATTTATTTTTTCCTCCTCTTTGAGATGAATGGCAGCGAAATATTGGCTGCATCCATGGTAAATGGAGGCAGGATTGGAGGTCGCGTCACTGTAACCTGAGCCACGAGAAGTTTTTGCAACACCTCGCGGTAAGAACTGAAAAAGAAACCGCATTATTGTAACGAAGGCTCAATGCCAAAAATCGTCATGGCTTCGGGGAAGATCCAAATTTGAAAATTAGGAAGACAGGGTGAAATTAATTTCTGAAAAAAAAAAGCAATTGTAACATGAGTCACGATAGGAATTACTCAAGTCATAATTACAAGGAAAACTGCAGTTTTCGGTTTCTCCGATCAATTTCTTCCAGAATTGTCGAGCGGTTTCCGTCACATTCGGAAATAACAGGACATTTGCAACTCGCTTATCAATGATCAATCGCTTATCAGCCATTTCCCTCAATCCTCCATGAATTGGAATCGATCACAGCCAAGGCACAATAACTCTCACATCGAACAGACAATTGAATGCGGTGCTGCAAGCATGTTTTCACGTGCCGATGCCTTTGTATAACCGCCAGGATAGGAATTTAATTTGCAAATGATACCATTTGCAAAATAATGCAAAAATCCTCCATTCGATGCAGAATTGTCTAGTCTTTCGAATGGTGAAAACAGCATCTCGATGAGACAAGCGTTGAGAAGTCATTCTCGTTCAAAGAGTGGGCAGGACTTTTGACTCACCCTGTATTTGAGACGTACCGCTTGACATCGCTCGTGAAATACGGCGCGAAGTGCCGATGTGAAATCCGATTTCGAAGATCTGCACTTTCGACTGCTACTTATTTTAATTCTGGTCTTCTGACCCTCGTTCAAACATTTCGTTTAGCAGTTGCAGCAGTTTCCCATGGAATGAGTATAAATATCTTCAGAAAATCCAGGGGTTTCCTCTCCTATATTGACTCACGTACGTAGAGAGTGGTATTTTTAACAAATTAAAGGAGGGAAGCATTTGAGACGCAGCCCATCATCGCGATTATAATGTGCATGACGGCGTTCATTTCCCGGCTTGGTACTTCGCGTTCCGTGATTCGTCCTTTCGCATCATGGGCTTGAAGATGAAACCGTCGGGCCCATTAAATTTTTTTTTCCCATTCGGAAACTGGAATCGGTTGAATCGAAGTGTCGATCAGCACGAACATTCCGTTTCAATTCGCGCGGATCGGGAGCGCGGGCACCACTCCCGCCAAGAAAAGAAGCGCCAACAACGAAAGAGGCGGGAGTGGGAGGCAACTTCCCCTCTCGGAGGAGGTTTCCCCGAGATCCGGCATAGCGGAAGCAACCCGGAGGAACGAGCAGAGCAGCCTGTAACTCCTTTCATGAGATATCCGTTCCCCGCCCCGAGAAGGACGCATCAAAGCGCTCGACTCCATCCCTGCCTTCGGCATTACATAAATCATGTCACGGTTTTCGAAACTCCGTCATGCGCCGGCTGAATTTTTAAAACAAACCATTTGAATTAACACATATTCATGTAGGTATGAATGTCAAACTTGGCAAGAGTCATTAGCAACTGTGGGAAATGAAATTTTGCTCCAACGAAGGTCCAACACTCTAAGAACATGGTGACACACACCAAAGAGTAATATGAAAAGTATCCAACAAAGTGAAAATTCATTGGTCACTTCCAAGCGAATGCGCATCGCGTGTCGCACCAGAAAAAATTAACTGTGCTGCTTGAGCAGGCAATTTCACCCTTTTCAGATCCGGCGTCCATTCCAGTGGACATTGCATACTCATTGTGTCAATGGTAATTTATAGGGATTCTAGAAACATTGCAACAAATATTACTCTTTAATTTGGGTACTTACGCATGCCTCTATTCCATCGGTATTGCTCTCACTCCTCAGTATTACTGTCTTCAGTTATGTAATTACATGTATAATGTATAATATATGATATGATAAATATATACAAAATATGAAAACCATATATAGCAAATCTATTTCAATAAACCATACACATAGTACACTTGAAGGATAATGTTTTCATCATGTTTTATATTGGTGGACATCTTAAGCGTGTTTCTCGAAGCGAAAAAAATCAAACATTTGTGCTTCTGACAGATGCCAGAATTCCCGTTCCAAGTTTCAACAATACTTGAGTCATGCCATCATCTAATAGGGATTTAAAAATCATCCTATTCGCCCAGCAGGAAATATTTGATTCACTACGGTTAAGAAGCCGGCTACTTCGATTCATACATTTAGAACGAATATCCAGTTCTGGTCCGCGGGATACAAGAGATGAGACGTAACAAACCCGGAATAAAATGGGTTTTCGTCTCGTCTCGTTAGGAAGCCTGACGAATTTTCTAGAATTTTCCCGCTTCGCCTGTGAATAGTCTCCCATCTTGCGTGCAGGTTCAGTGTATTTTCGTTCCCTTACCGCCAAGTATGTGCCAGAAATACCACCTTGACGTTAACCACCGTCGCACTTGCCTCCACAACGAGTTCCGTCTTGGCGAGAACTACCTTTTCCGCGCCCAGCAGAACCGCCTCAAGTGTAAATGTTTGACGACCAGAAAGACCTCCAATGCTACTTACGACAGTTCTTTGAGTCTCTGTCCCCATCGTTCTACAACTACAGAGTTTTTCATTACATTTTGTATTGGTGGACATGATGAACATGTCATTCTTGTGTAATAAATCACACATTTGTGCTTCTGACAGTTGCCAGAATCAAGGTTCCTAGATTCAACAAAACGTCATTATCAAATTCCAGTGATTTAAAGTCCAGTCACTGTCCAGTACGTCCAGCAGGAATCGGTTGAATCTCGACGGTTAAGACACCGGCTGCTTCGTTTCATAGATTTAAAACCGAAAACCTAGTTCTGGTCCTGAAAAAAAAAAAACTTTATGACCTGAAAATTCCAGTAACGAAAGAGCTCGGACATAATACACCCAGAATAAAATGGGTTTAGTAGCAGGGAAGAATACATGAAAACGTATCGTATACGACATAGACACTCGCCTGCCATCGTTATCAGAATCTATTTGACTGCTGGTGCGAGTGGGACCGGGAAGAGGATCGAAGCGGAGTCGAGAGCGTCTTGTAATCTTTGACTTGGAACCTCCTCCCCAAGGACTTCCACAGGGCCGCCCGAGTGCTCTTGTCGAGGAAGACGTGGCAGAGACCGATCCCCGCGCCTTGGAGGGAATTGAGGACGGTGAAGACGATGCCGATGGCGGTGGCCGCCTCGTCGACGAGGAAGAAGCCGACGATCCACGTCGTGCCCAAGAGGGTGGAGAGAACGGCGGCCGACCTGATCCAGAGGAGAACTTCGCTCTGCTCCGCTCGACTCGATTTCAGTCTCTTGGAGCAGCTGATGGTGATCATGGCCGAGGCGAGAATCGCGCCGTTCGCCAGAACGACAAGGGCCACCGGCCCCGCAAAAGCCCAAATGAACGCTCCGTTCAGCCAGCAGTACTTCTCGTTACCGTAGGCGTCTCCCTTGGTGATCCCTCCCGTGCAGGCGACGATGACGGCGGGGATCCCATAGCAGAAGAGATAGTAAAACCGGCTCCTGC